GACAGGTTGCCTATTGGTGATGAGTACGTGGATCGAAATGCCCGGTATGGTATACCGTCCAGAAGAACAAGTGTAAATAGCCCGATTGTGTTTCACTATCGAGAGAGTTGCTCAAAAATAGTAATCGTACCGACCTTATCAAAGCGAGGGGAAGTCAATTATTTGACCTACAAACCGGAGGTTATCCCATAAATCCCAATAATGGGGTAAAGGAGCACGTTAGGTACATGATAGATCGTATCACGCAATACGCGTCTGTCGGAGGATCTAGCTCGGGGTCTGTCGGAGGATCTAGCTCGGGTCAAATGGTAAGACCACATGAGATCATCAGCGCCAATTTGACATCAGATAACTTTGTACGACACAGATCCCCTGACCGTTCATCATGATGGAATACAAACCCTCTTTTCTGGAATATGTGTTCATGTCTATAGGTTAGCGATCCACGTCAGTCGAATGATTGAATGTCATCACCAATTCTTCCAGCCATCTGTAGAATGTTACTTGACAAACTATAAGACAACATTTCGATTAGTCTAGGTTCCTAGGACGCATGGACTCTCGTGATGCCAAAACATCATGCAGTATTGCGTTTCCGTATTCCCAACTCGGCCAAATAACAGAATAACGACTCCAATCCATTATCTATAGACAAAATCCTAACCGTGATAAATCAATTCTGCAATCAGATAGGGCAAGGGTGCCGACCAAGCGTTCGCGTTACACTGACATTTCCCCAGACCGGATCTATTTAATCTTTCAATGAAATGGCTAAGCACTACTAGCGAACTCTACGAGGTATCCCGTGATCTGGCCGACAGACTGGATAGCCAAAAAAGTCGGCGTTATCAATTATTACAGTTTCATTCACGAGTTGAAAATGTAACTTTTGGTGAATATCATTTCCGAATATATTTACCATGAGTATTAAAACAGTATCGCTTGAATAAACCCATCAGTGTCTTTCGTAAAACACAGTTCATACGAAAACATAGTGAAACCTTGCTTCCAATTGTTTTTAGCCTAAATAGTTTAATTGTTCTGGTGCCATCTTATTTTCCTATTGTTTGATGACAACAGATGCCTCTATTATACTGGGACTGATTATGTGATCCGTAGTTTGGTGATGTTGTCATCTCTGCTAACTAAACGGATTCAGTTCCCTTAGTCTATAACGTATTCGTTCGTTGTCATATTGATGGAGAAGTCCAAAATATATTACTTTACAGATTATTATTTTCGCCAAATCTGCGAATGATTTTTCTTTCATTCAAACTTATTTCTTCGAACGAAAAGCAATCAAAGGGATCGGCACAAGTTCTGACAACTTACTAGGCCCTCTCCCGACAATATAACACACAGTGACTAAAGATATAACAACTTCCTAGGCCCACTCCCAACAATATAACACACAGTGACTAAAGATATAACAATTTTCTAGGCCCTCTCCCGACAATAGAACACACAGTGCAAAAGATATAACATCTTACTAGGCCCTCTCCCGACAATAGAACACACAGTGCAAAAGATATAACATCTTACTAGGCCCTCTCCCGACAATATACCACACAGTGACTAAAGATAAAAAAAAAAAAGACTAGGCCCTCTCCCAACAATATAAAACACAGTGACTAAAGATATAAAAAAAAAGACTAGGCCCTCTCCCAACAATGCAACACACAGTGACTAAAGATATAAAAAAAAAAGACTAGGCCCTCTCCCAACAATATAACACACAGTGACTAAAGATATAACAACACACTAGACCCTCTCCCAACAATATAACACACAGTGACTAAGGATATAACAACTTACTAGGCACTCTCCCGACAATATAACACACAGTGACTAAGGATATAACAACTTACTAGGCCCTCTCCAAACAATATAACACACAGTGACTAAGGATATAACAACTTACTAGGCACTCTCCCGACAATATAACACACAGTAACTAAAGATATAACAACACACTAGGCCCTCTCCCAACAATCCAACACACAGTGACTAAAGATATAACAAATTACTAGGCCCCCTCCCAACAATATAACACACAGTGCAAAAGATATAACAACTTACTAGGCCCTCTCCCGACAATATAACACACAGTGACTAAAGATATAACAACTTACTAGGCCCTCTCCCGACAATACAACTCACAGTGACTAAGGATATAACAACTTACTAGGCCCTCTCCCAACAATATAACACACAGTGACTAAAGATATAACAATTTACTAGGCCCTCTCCCGACAATATAACACACAGTGCAAAAGAAATAACAACTTACTAGGCCCTCTCCCGACAATATAACACACAGTGACTAAAGATATAACAACTTACTAGGCCCTCTCCCGACAATACAACACACAGTAACTAAAGATATAACAACTTACTAGGCCCTCTCCCGACAATACAACACACAGTAACTAAAGATATAACAACTTACTAGGCCCTCTCCCGACAATACAACACACAGTAACTAAAGATATAACAACTTACTAGGCCCTCTCCCGACAATACAACACACAGTAACTAAAGATATAACAACTTACTAGGCCCTCTCCCGACAATACAACACACAGTAACTAAAGATATAACAACTTACTAGGCCCTCTCCCGACAATACAACACACAGTAACTAAAGATATAACAACTTACTAGGCCCTCTCCCGACAATACAACACACAGTAACTAAAGATATAACAACTTACTAGGCCCTCTCCCGACAATACAACACACAGTAACTAAAGATATAACAACTTACTAGGCCCTCTCCCGACAATACAACACACAGTAACTAAAGATATAACAACTTACTAGGCCCTCTCCCGACAATACAACACACAGTAACTAAAGATATAACAACTTACTAGGCCCTCTCCCGACAATACAACACACAGTAACTAAAGATATAACAACTTACTAGGCCCTCTCCCGACAATACAACACACAGTAACTAAAGATATAACAACTTACTAGGCCCTCTCCCGACAATACAACACACAGTAACTAAAGATATAACAACTTACTAGGCCCTCTCCCGACAATACAACACACAGTAACTAAAGATATAACAACTTACTAGGCCCTCTCCCGACAATACAACACACAGTAACTAAAGATATAACAACTTACTAGGCCCTCTCCCGACAATACAACACACAGTAACTAAAGATATAACAACTTACTAGGCCCTCTCCCGACAATACAACACACAGTAACTAAAGATATAACAACTTACTAGGCCCTCTCCCGACAATACAACACACAGTAACTAAAGATATAACAACTTACTAGGCCCTCTCCCGACAATACAACACACAGTGACTAAAGATATAACAACTTACTAGGCCCTCTCCCGACAATACAACACACAGTGACTAAAGATATAACAACTTACTAGGCCCTCTCCCGACAATACAACACACAGTGACTAAAGATATAACAACTTACTAGGCCCTCTCCCGACAATACAACACACAGTGACTAAAGATATAACAACTTACTAGGCCCTCTCCCGACAATACAACACACAGTGACTAAAGATATAACAACACACTAGGCCCTCTCCCGACAATACAACACACAGTGACTAAAGATATAACAACTTACTAGGCCCTCACCCGATAATACAACACACAGTGACTAAAGATATAACAACATACTAGGCCCTCTCCCGACAATACAACACACAGTGACTAAACATAAAACAACACACTAGGCCCTCTACCGACAATACAACACACAGTGACTAAATATATAACAACACACTAGGCCCTCTCCCGACAATACAACACACAGTGACTAAAGATATAACAACTTACTAGGCCCTCTCCCGACAATACAACACACAGTGACTAAAGATATAACAACATACTAGGCCCCTCCCGACAATACAACACACAGTGACTAAAGATATAACAACATACTAGGCCCTCACCCGACAATACAACACACAGAGACTAAAGATATAACAACATACTAGGCCCTCACCCGACATTACAACACACAGTGACTATAGATATAACAACTTACTAGGCTCTCTCCCAACAATATAACACACTGTACTTAAATATATACCACGTGATGACAAAACGTTCAGCACATACATATACAGACAATACACTAGTTGACATGAAAACAGCAAGAAGAAAGGGAAGGAGTGAGGGAAAATGTAAAAGAAGGGACAGAATGGAAAATGTTCTTGCTGCAAGATTTGTCCACAAATTGGTTTCAATCATTTTCGTTGATTTTATGAATGATTGTATAGCATGTATAATATCGACAGATTTTCAGAATATTTAAGGATTAACTTGAATATATTTTTCATGTTATGGAGATATAATACACAAAAAACGGAGATTACTCTAAATAAACCGCGAAGCGGTTTATGATGAGAGTACACTCCGTTTTTTTGTGTTATAGCTCCATAACATGAAAAATATATTCAAGTTAATCCTTATAATTCAATCTACTATACACAATCCCTGTGGAAATCCACTTTTATTGATGGACTCTTTTCTCTTAGAGATTATTGCGCTGCAGTATCAGCCAATCAAAAGCGACGTTACAAACGGCGACGTCATTTTTTACGTTATGGGCTGATAACATAATTTGTTAAGCCAATGCAAATGCTTGTTACAAGCAAGTTTAAATTATTAGATAATAACAGTAACACCTAACAATCGAAATTAAACCTGGTATATATCGTTTAGCGATAAAATATTCATTCTCATCCAAAGGAAAAGTCACAAAAATGCACATTTAAACAAGACAAACAAATTAAATCGGTCATTGTCGATCATTTGCAGATAGAAGGATATAAACTGGGTTTAATTTCGATTTTTATGTGTTTGTGTTATTATTTAATATTTTGAATATAAAACATTTCTACAGAGCATTACATTAAAACATTGCAAGGCAAGCATACTTTTTCCATTGATTTATTGAAACATTTAAAGAGGAATGTTTAAGAATAGGACTGTTTTTGTATGGGCGTGGGAGCGTAGACCTATAATGAAGATGATGACTGTCTATTTGCTGCGATTATCTGGAGACTTCACTTGGCGTCAGTGATAATATGAATTCTACACCAAAAAGGGCCGAGCTGTTGAGATGTAATTTGTCCGGCGCTATACTTTTCACTTCTTTATTTTCCATTGACACGCATACCTGAGTATGTATCACGTCTTCCAGATGAAAACTGTCTGCATCGTAATTTCTCCCAAGAATTACTGTCTAACAGTTCCTATTATACCTCTGTCATTTGATCCATAGCGCTATATACGCTCGTACTTTGTTCCAGTCAGTCAGTTTTTTTGTCCAGCTGAGTCCACAACAATAATGCACGAACGCATCTAGATTGACGACCTTCATAGTATACAAAAATGAGAAGCATCGGCTCAGTCTGCGGCCTATTTTTGCCGTAGAATACTTACTGACAGAACATAATGGATTAGTCCGTTCAAGGTCTCCTTCAATGCTTCTCTGACACGAAATGACGAGATAGAGGACATTTTGACCATGTCTGCTCAAAGCAGTATTTTTTTTTACAACAACAAATAAAATACTGGGATAATTGATTAACAGACACACATTATCGGTCTATACTTTTTTTCCTGATATAAAGATAGTCGAAAATTCGATTCCTAAAAGACGACGGGCGCATGCGCTGAACTACTGGCACTAGATGACGCGATGTAGCTGTTCTCTGGTGATGTGTATGAGCGCTTCTAAACACAGGTCGTCGCCGCCCTCCACGACCTCTTTCATCAGAACCGCTGTCGTTAAGTTCCCGGACGTCCAGGCTGCCTCGACGATCATACTTTTGTGGGTTGTAGGTCCATTTTCTGTACGTTCTGTAGTTTACTGTTAAATGTAAATAGTAATACATTACATATAGCAAAACAAAGTATAAAGCCGGACCGACCACGTCGCTGGGCAGGAGGGGGGAGTGGCCGGACCGACCACGTTGTGGGGCAGGAGGGGGGAGTGGCCGGACCGACCTCGTTGCGGGGCAGGAGGGGTGAGTGGCCGGACAATTGCTGAAAACATTTCCAACTGACGTGAGTGTCATCTACGTGATATTTGTATTTTATTAAGATAGGTATAGATTCTGAATGACTCTCTCAATCAACAATTCTAAAAACACGATCATTACAAAAACACAGGACCAGCATTTTTAATCAAAATGTTCGTTTCGTCTGAAGTTAACATTATTCTTTCGATTGATAGACAGAAGTTATAAGGAAATGTTACCAGAAAAAAAATCATATTTCATAAAACCTGGTTAATATGAACGAAAAATATTACCACCTTGAGGTAACAGTTGTTTATGTCGTGTAACGGGACAGGAACAACAACAACTCCCATATCAGTTCGTGTTATCAAATTAAACAGCTTTAAGTTTCCTTCACCAACAATAACATGTTATTACTACTGAATTGTTCCTACTGTCGAATTAACACGTGATCACTTGTGTCAAAGGAAATAATTTACTTTTTATCATTGAATCCTTGACTTTTAAACAATGTCACATGCGAAATTCACATTTTTTATCCTCTCTCATTTCTGTTTTATTTTTATATATTATCAATTGTTTACGGCGACATTTAGAAAACACTGTAATAAATACAGCACGTACACGAGCATGTCTTATTTGATATATAAGAAATACTACAATATCAGTTAGATTGAATGTGTGATTTGACCTTAAAATCTTACATTTAAGTGAAACAAAAATAGGTGTGAGGTCATCATAGCAGTGATTTTAGCGAATTTTCGCAAGCATTATATCAATTTATACTTCTCTCGTGTTTGTGACGAAGATTAGTGCTTACACGTAGGACATGTTGGACAGCAGTGGCCGGGAATCACTCGCGCACCGATACAGTTCAGTCTGGGACAGCTTAACCGCCGGCAGAATATCCTTCCGCCATTGTTACACGAACAGGGTCTACATCGGCTGGCAGGTACACTTTCGCCTGTCATAAAAAGAGTATTGTTTATGATGCTTTCCTATTGGCTATGTTTTGATAAATATTGAATAAAAACGAAACAGAAATATTTACGTTGCATACCAGAGTTACTTCGCATGCCTGCATGCCTGACATATTTACATGAACGATGCATGTTTTGTTTCAATTGAGCACAATTTTTACGTTAACATGAGTAACTTAATTTTCTACAAGAACCATAAACATCCCATCTAGCCAATGTTAAAAATATCGAATTGCTATCGGAGGAAACGGGGGATAGGGTTAAGTGGGGGTAAGTTTACTACTTTTAGAATATTTAATGTGAGCACAACAGAAACGTAAATATACACAAACTTAATTTAAAGCAATAAAGTAATGAAAGTAAACGATTTATTAGCCTTTTAAATCCGCCATAATGTCAATGAGTAAAATGTCTGAGCGTATCCAAGTGTACGACATTGTAGCTACATTACGCTCCAGACGACCGCTGTAGTTAAAACGCTAGGCACTACACTAGGCGAGCAGTGCAGTAAAATATCTATTCTAACTGATACTTCAAAAAAAGTGGTGTTAATATTTGATTGTTACTGTCAAGCTAACCAGTGGTGAAAAATAGTTGTTTGTTTTTATTATGATTTTACATTCTTAATTCTTTTTACCACCGTCGTGTTTTATTTTGGAACAATTCTGTTTCTTGTGTTATTTTTAGGATTGTCTATATAACTTTTTGGTATTATTTGTAAATGCATCAGATAATCTTCAAAATACTCATATCAAGGATTCACGTACCACCGCCAGAAACGGTAGCTTGACTCTGACGTCATAATTTGCTCTCCGGCAAATCTCTTATTTAATAACGCCTAGTAAAGTTTGATTATGTTAGAATATGTATGAGTTCATGAAACACTCATTAATTGTTTACGTAATGAAATTGCCTGTCGTTAAACTGGTATAGTCCAAGTTATATTTACGACACACATTCATTTACAGTGTGTTAACTTTCTAATTTAAGATCACAAGCGCTGGACAGCGTATCTTTAGGCTAACAATGGTACATTGTATGAAGGCAGGGGTACATGTATATGTATGTCATGTTCGCGTACGTGTAGTATGTCGAGTTTTAACTTAGAAAAACAATATGTGAGTGTCGTACATACCAACGTAAATATGTGTACACTGTACATACTTGTGTGATTAAAATCGTACTGAGCTTCTTTCTAAACATTTTCTTCATGTTGGTGAGTATGGATTATGAAAAGTTCTCTTTACACAACCAATAACATTTTCTATGTGACCTTTTGATGACTAGTACGATATGTACACTGTCACCTTCATCAGCTACGCTTTATTAAATACTTAGTTATAAATAGAGACGAGGGGGCTCGAAGACTCTCGCACATCCATGACCAAGTATTAAAGAAAGCGTAGATGAATCGAGTCATTTCGGTACATGTATAACAACTTTTGTACACACACTTACGGCGTAGCCGAATCGACATCGATTTTTTGGACGACTCGTACATCACATAGAAAATGTTATTGGTTGTGTAAAAAAACCTTTTTATAATAATAAATCGTACCTGGCTTCTTCCTTTAAACGCCGTTAAGTTTTCATTGTATAATTATAGTTAGGTAAAGACACTATATCGCAACTATAATGCTATAGCTATTCATGTAAAGTAAAATATATGTAAAAGAAGAAAACATAAATAGTCGCACCTGTTTCGTAAAATACACCATTCCGTCTGCAAACTCCTTCAGCATAGTCGGTGCATATGAATAAAACAGCCCCCACAAGAATTACCCGGAACCCACATTTATCCATGGCATCACCTGCTGTTGTTTCGTGTCATTTCTTTGCACATGTGTAGAAAAAATGCGGGAAATGTGTTTTATATGAGTGATTAGTCTAGCTCGTAAATTAGAGTAACGACGCATGGGTTATAACATTAATGTGTGAAGTCGTGCATGAGAAAACTCACTATATGTGGAAACTTGTGAACCGCTTTGAAACGACCTACATGTACGACTTGGGTTGTGATAAAAAAGCGGTATATAAGAACCTCGAATTTGTATTATTTATTATCAAGATACACACTTATCAAAAGTAGGGACCACAGGGACCTGAGCATTTGTTACAGTTTGTTTGGACCTAAACTTAGGCGTTCAGAGTAATTGTACATGTTTCAGGGGTCTAGATCGACTTGATCATCATTGAGGGTGTCATTTTTATCGAAAATCGATCTAAACCCCTAGAACATGTAAAATTACCTGGAACACCGTAGTTTAGGTCCAAATATAACTATAGCAAACTATCAGGTCCCTGTCTGAGGTATTCTTCACGTTATACAGTATTAAAATTATGTGAATTTTAGAAATAAAACCCTTCTCTCTGACTGATCGATGTGACATTATGTATGAAGTAGTATTGGGGAGGGGGAATATAATTATACCCTCCACAAACGAAGTTTATAGGGATCAAACTGTCCGTCCGTCCGTCCGTTCGTCCGCGTGTTATACATGTGCATTGTAGCATTTAAAACTTCCGGCTCCAGAAACCTTGTAAGCGCTACTCGTTAACAGCTTGTTGAGTTTTGTTTGTAACTTGATACAGTGAAAGTACAGTGTATGCAGATGGGCATGAAGAACGTAATTTACCAGGTCCTTAAACTTGAATTTATACTCCAGAAACCCTGTATAATAAGCGCAAAAGGTGGGTAGGGGTATCTTTGTGAGCTAGACAGTTTCTCTAGTTAAACTAATGGATCATTCTACTTCTGATTGATATGTTGAGTATTTGTGTGAATGGTGGTACTGGGGAGGACAGGGTTACATTATTTAACTCTTTGGTTCCCCCATTAAACTTCCACTATATTTATGGAGTTCTTAATTAACCTTGATGTCCTTGAACATCTTTTCTTTGTATTGTGCATGCTCCTCATTACAGCTTTTATCTCGTAAACATGACACACGAGAAGGTCTCTCTTTAAATAGTCGTCTTTTGTTTAGCCTGGTTTAATGACACAAGGTATCATATTAAACTACCTTCTCATCGATAGCAAAGCTATAAAATCCATTGTGTGTGTAGAGTCAGAAACACGGATATAAAACATATGAAACACATCGGTAGGGTCGCCTTTCTTTATGGCTATGTGATATTTATTGTTGGACACATATCACATTAAAACTGATAGCAAAGTAATGAACGCTTCATGTATTTAGTAGATCTACTAAATCATTAAACAAAATGTACCGAAAAAAACTTCAAAATCGAAATATTCGGTGTAGTCTCTCTTTCAAGGATATTTCCGGTATGCCTGGTTCTATTTCCGGTTTTATTAGGTTCATTTCCAGCTCGCGGGGACCAAACGTGTCTACCAAAACATTGCTATCATTGACAATTAAAGAATGAACAGCCCACTGAACGAAATCTGCATTATATATAAGAACAACGCTACGAGGCCGCATTCTTATTATAATGTTATAGTCATAAAGGACATGGGAAGGCTAGTAGCATATTAACACAGAAGGGGACTGATATTCTGTTACAACAGAAGGGGGTTGATACTCTGTTTTATTACAGAAGGGGGCTGATACTCTTTTTTTACCACAGAAGGGGGTTGAGACTCTGTTTTACCACAGAAGGGGCTGACACTCTGTTACCACAGAAGGGGTTGGTACTCTGTTTTAACACAGAAGGGGGTTGATTCTCTGTTTTACCACAGAAGGGGTTGGTACTCTGTTTTAGCACAGAAGGGGGTTGATACTCTGTTTTATCACAGAAGGGGCCTGAGACTCTCTTACAACAGAAGGGGTTTGAGACTCTGTTTTACTACAGAAGGGGGTTGAGACTCTGTTTTATCACAGAAGGGGGATGAGACTCTGTTACAACAAAAGGGGGTTGATACTCTGTTTTACCACAGAAGGGGTTGGTACTCTGTTTTAACACAGAAGGGGGTTGATACTCTGTTTTATCACAGAAGGGGGCTGAGACTCTCTTACAACAGAAGGGGTTTGAGACTCTGTTTTACTACAGAAGGGGGTTGAGACTCTGTTTTACTACAGAAGGGGGTTGAGACTCTGTTTTACTACAGAAGGGGGTTGAGACTCTGTTTTATCACAGAAGGGGGATGAGACTCTGTTACAACAAAAGGGGGTTGATACTCTGTTTTACCACAGAAGGGGGTTGAGACTCTGTTACAACAGAAGGGGGTTGATACTCTGTTTTACCACAGAAGGGGGTTGATACTCTGTTTACCACTGAAGGGGGTTGATAATTTCTTTCTACAGAAGGGGGTTGAGACTCTGTTTTACCACAGAAGGGGGCTGACACTCTTTTACCACAGAAGAGGGTTGATACTCTGTTTTACCACAGAAGGGGGTTGATACTCTGTTCACCACAGAAGGGGTTGAGACTCTCTTACAACAGAAGGGGTTGAGACTCTGTTTTACCACAGAAGGGGGCTGACACTCTGTTACCACAGAAGGGGGTTGGTACTCTGTTTTACCACAGAAGGGAGTTGATACTCTGTTTTACCACAGAAGGGGTTGAAACTCTGTTTTACCATAGAAAGGGACTGACACTTTCATACCACAGTTTTACCCACTCATTCATTGAACCTGTCATGCATTACCACCCCGTTACTCATCCTTATCCTTGTACTCCTGTGTATGACACTTTATATTCGTAAACCCTCTGTTTATTTACATTTAGCATTTTATATTTACATTTGCTGTGTCGTTGATGGGACTTTAATTACCATGCAGCACGAGACACAATTCTTAGCGTATTAATACAACACTGACCGGAACTACAATATCCAATGTAAATAAACATGACGGCTGCTGAAATATAGACTTGTAAATTTACGTGGAAAAGTAAAAGAAAATAAAAAATACTTTTATTACAACTAAAACAAGACCAAGGTCTGCAATATCGTACACAGTGCACATCGATTGAAATCACCAATGGAAACAATTTTAACGCTCATGCAATTTATCAGAAATATTGTCTGTTTCACTGCACTGATCAACAGGGTTTCGTTACAAATGTCTGAATTACACATATTATATAGACCTACTGACACATATGATACAGACCTACTGATATGAGTCACAGCACACATACACATTTCAGAAATTTGTAACGAACCCCTGTGCTCCGTCGCAAGATCACTCACTTCAAACGCTGACAGTTTCACGCGTCTCGAAGCCACGGTTTCCTCAGTTTCTGACGGCATATCAAATAACGAGGCTATTTTAGAATATACCGACTGTAGTCAGATTCCCATACAATCAACAAATGAATTCACGTCTGGATTCTTCACAAAATGAGCAAAGAGAAAGTTCGAATTAACTTCCAAAAATAACTCCCTCCCGGAGGGCAAGGTCGGATTTACGGTGTTCACTGTATTTATCCATGCGCGAAATTTGTTCCGGGGAAAAATCGAACCAATTTCAAATCAAATTTCAGCTCAGAGATCTATTGATAAACTTAAATCACCCTATAGACATAGCATACGCAATTGTATTGATACAGAATTGTGAAATAAAATTGAACTTTTTGTTAAAATTTCAAAGTACTATACTTTGTTTGCCAATAAGCGCGCGACAACACGCTGTTCCAACTATTAAACGCATTTGTGTGGACTGTCGATAAGGCGGGAATTTTAAATTTAAAATATAAATTGTAAGTTAAAAAAGAACTTTAGAGGCAGAGAAAACGTAAACATAAGTATTGAACTATTTTGTATGGTATTATGATCTTTTGCGCGCATTATGTTGTTTGCTTGCAAAACTGTGTCATTCAAATAGATCATAAATACCATACACAAACAGTTCAATGTCTAAATAACAGCACCACTATATCAAACTTAACTTTGACTATATCGTACATTATTAACTTCATTGTTCCACCTAATATTATGGCAAACTCGGAATATGTCGAGTACCTGGTTTATCTCGAACCTATTCGGTCACGTGACAATCCAATAGTATTGCTTTAACAATGCAAAATCTACATAAACCCACAAAATAAACCGAAAGTAACCGCCAACCTGTACCATGTAACGTAACAGTCAACCTGTACCATGTAACGTGACAGTCAACCTGTACCATGGAACGGAACAGTCAACCTATACCATGTAACGTCACAGGCAACCTGTACCATGTAACGTAACAGACAACCTGGACCATGTAACGTCACAGTCAACCTTCACCATGTAACGTAACAGTCAACCTGGACCATGTAACGTAACAGTCAACCTGTTCCATGTAACGTGACAGTCAACCTGTACCATGTAACGTGACAGTCAACCTGTACCATGTAACGTAACAGACAACCTGGACCATGTAACGTCACAGTCAACCTTGACCATGTAACGTAACAGTCAATCTGGACCATGTAACGTCACAGTCAACATGTACCATGTAACGTAACAGTCAACCTGTACCATGTAACGTCACAGTCAACCTGTACCATGTAACGTGACAGTCAACCTGTACCATGTAACGTCACAGTCAACCTGTACCATGTAACGTTACAGTCAACCTGTACCATGTAACGTAAGAGTCAACCTGTACCATGTAACGTCACTGTCAACCTGTACCATGTAAGGTAACAGTCAACCTGTACCATGTAACGTTACAGCCAACCTGTACCATGTAACGTAACAGTCAACCTGTACCATGTAACATAACAGTCAACCTCTACCATGTAACGTCACAGTCAATCTGGACCATGTAACGTAACAGTCAACCTGTACCATGTAACGTAACAGTCAACCTGTACCATGTAACGTAACAGTCAACATATACCATGTAACGTCACAGTCAACCTGTACCATGTAACG